AAAACAACTTTAAGACAAAATTGACTCTAGGAACTTTATGGGCCTACCATAAATTCAATTTTAGGATTCCAGATCTGTCAAGACCACTTCATTTTGTTCAGAATCAGTATCCAAGAATCCTAGTCTTTCCTTTATAGATTTACTGCAGATGGGAGGAAGTTTGAGGTGGAGAATGAATGAGGTTCTCATTTAATAAAGAAGACAATTTAGAAATCCACATTAATAAAATTGGCCTATCTCACTTATCCTAGCTTTACTTTACTTCCTTAATCTCTCACCTCTGCTTCATCTCAAGATTAATCTTCCTCTGCTGTGCATTCTTTTTTTTTTTTTTTTTTTTCTTTAAGATTTATTTATTTATTTATACAAGCACTGGGTACAGTCAGAAGCATGGGAGGGTGAGAGAACTCGCCAGAGCCAGAGCGGGGAGCAGAGCAGGCAGAAGGACCGAAGTACACTGCTGAGGGGAGCAGCGGGCGGCAGGAGAGGTCCGCGCGCCATGTGGGACCCTCCTCCGGTGGCCGGGGAGCAGCCGGGGATCGAACCGGCGCCGCAGAGACTGCGGGCAGCTCGCAACCCAGCGCTCAACCGCTGCGCCACAGGGGAGGCCCTGCTGTGCATTCTTAACGTTGTATTCAACTCTCCTCTGCCCTTAAACTTGCATAATTAAATTCACCAAAAGTACATTTTTATACAGTAAAATCAAGCATGTACCTACTATAAGAATTAGCAGTCCTACTCCTAGGTATTTACCCAAGTGATATTAAAGCTATAGTAACTGAAAAATCTGTACCTAAATGTTTACAGCATCCTTATTTGTAATTGCTACAAACCACAAATAGCTTGAATGCCACTCAAAGAAGGTATAAACACTACTGCATTGGAATACTGCATGGTAATAAAAAGGCACAAACACTGTTGACACAACATGAAAAATGTAGTTTTATGGGTTCAGATGAATTACAAGAGTATTATACATACATATAATTGCTTCACAAATGTGTATGTTGCCACTGGGAGATCTATTATTGTCCAGCCACTAGCAGAGAGGATCCGTTTTTCTTTGTCTTCACATCTGAATGTTTCAAATTTAGGAGTCAAAATTAGAAGGGAATTAGGCCAGAACAGAGTATTTTGTCATTTTGGTCATAACTGAACTAGGGAGAGATTGACATAAACATTTCTTTTATCTCCAAGTCTTTAGTATTTTGGACATCTGTTTATTTTGGATTTGCTCACAAATCTCTCTCACCACCCCTCCACCCCCCTTTTTTGAGGTAACATGGGTTTATCTCTCTTCCCACCTGGGCTCTTAAGTTGGCGGGTCTGACAGATTTTAGCCTATTTGAGGCATACCAGTCTGTCCTCCTAACATGTGCCCAAGGTACTTTCTTCAGACTACCACACTGAATTTGTAAATGGAAAATGAAGACTGCTTGGTTGGCCCAGTCCACCCATTTGTGTTTTGTGTCTGGATATGATGATGGTAGCATTTGTGGTCTTTAAAAGAACCTATTTACCTAAAAGTGATACCACTCCCTAGTGGTTTAAAATTTTTAAATGCCTTTATCCTGCAGAAATAGAAATGTTCAGAAAGAAAAAACTGAAAAGTAAATCTCCAATCAGTACCCTTTATTTAGCCAGTCTGTTAACTAACCATTGAGAGCCAGTCTGTTAAAATACCACTGTATTTCAGGAGACAAAGTATATGAGGGTGGATAGGAAAGGGAAGCAAATATGGAGCAAACTTTTTTTTTTTTTTTTAAGATTTATTTACTTATTTTTATACAAGAACTGGGGCACAGGCCAGATGCGCGGGAGGGTGAGAGGACTCACCAGAGACAGAGCGGGGAATAGAACAGGCAGACCGACAAAATACACTGCTGAGGGGAGCAGCGGGCGCAACAGAGAGGTCTGCCATGCCATGTGGGACCCCTGCCCGCTGGGATTGAACTGGTGCTGCAGAGGCTGCAGGCAGCCCCACAGCGCTGTGCTCAACCCACTGCGCCACCAGGGGAGGCCCAAAAATGAAACTTTAAAAAAAAATTACTTAAACAAAAGTGAAGAGAATAGTAAAATGAACCACCCAGTTAAATTGAAGATATTTCTCTTTGAGTAATCATGGGTGAGACCCCTGACCATTTAGGCTACTTGTAACAGTCTTGAGGTTAAGGATACAGGAAAAGTAACTGGAAATGGTGTGGTGACACACTGAAAATTTTGAGGTCTGGTCACAAACTGTGCTGCTCATTTTGGTAATAAAACCATCCCATTAGTTTGAGTTCCCTGAGACTTACACACTGCTGGGGAAATGTGGTCCCACTGTGCTATCGACGAGATAAATTTCTGCTTTAAACCACAGCTGTCTTGAGGAAATATAGGGGTTTTGCTCCCTTGCTGCATGTTGGGTATTTGTATTATGCCATTTAAGTCTTTTCCTTTTGCTCCATGCAACTAGTAAATGATCTTGTTTATAAAGTGCCTGGTCTCAAAGGGCTAGAATTTCAATTAGCAATGTAAACATTTGTTAGGCCACAGAAATCACTGGCAGTAGATACTTTTCTTAATACATTAGTGTATTATTCATATTATTGAAATAAATATTAGCTTGTAATTTAAAGTAACTTTGTCAGGAAACACTAAAAGTTGTTTGAAAGACTATTCTTTATTTATTTATTTATTTATTTATTTTATAGAGGCATGTTTTCTTTGTTTGTTTGTTTGTTTGTTTGTTTATACATGCACTGGGTACAGTCAGAAGCGCGGGAGGGTGAGAGAATTCACCAGAGCCAGAGCGGGGAGCAGAGCAGGCAGAAGGACCGAAGTACACTGCTGAGGGGAGCAGCGGGCGGCAGGAGAGGTCTGCACGCCATGTGGGACCCTCCTCCGGTGGCCCGGGAGCAGCCGGGGATCGAACCGGCGCCGCAGAGGCCGCGGGCAGCTTCGCAACCCAGCGCTCAACCGCTGCGCCACCGGGGAGGCCCAGACTATTCTTTATTTAAAAGAGACTAAGGAGACATGACAATTAAATACAGTGTCTGGTGCTGTATTGGACCATAGATTAAAGAACATCCATTAAGAGTGTTATTAGGGCCAGTGGGTACATTTGAAGCTGGATGATAATAATAGATGATATCACATCAAGGTTTAATTTCTTGAGCATGCTAATATCATGGTTATATACGAGGTTGTCCTCAATCTAGAAATAACATGGCTGAACTATCAGGGTTGTAAGTGGCTCAGAAAATTTTTATATACATGCATATAATTTTATCTCTAAGGTGTATAAAGTTGGTAAATACAGGTGAAAATATGTGGGTGGTAATTGTACTATTTATTGAGGGGAAGTTTGGGAGCCAGTTGATACTTTATTCACAGATGTTGGAGCTAATCACAATATAGTGCTTGTGGAGTGAGATATGGCTAGACTTCATTCATTGAGTGCTTATGGGTTTTTGTTCATTATTTCATTTAATTCTTTAAAAAGACTGTTGTAGAGAATTCAGACGCATAGATTAAATAACAGAAAGAGCCTTTCTGTGAAGGGAGATATTTTGGTTCCAGTACTCCCACTCTTAATCATAAAACTATTGTCATCTTGATTGAATGTATGCTAAAAAAATTTAGACTGTCCTTTATTGTTTTACTGTTTGGAGTGTGGCTCCAGATGTTTAGCATATCACCTGGGAGCTTGTTAGGAATGCAGAAACCTGGGTCTGAACCCTGTCTGCATTTTTTTTTTTTTTTAAACTTTGCAAGCCCTACTTTATTTTTTTATTAGATTTTATTAATTAATTAATTAATTTATATACAAGCACTGGGGTACAGTCAGAAGCGCTGGAGGGTGAGAGAATTCACCAGAGCCAGAGCGGGGAGCAGAATAGGCAGAAGGACCGAAGTACACTGCTGAGGGGAGCAGTGGGAAGCAGGAGAGGTCTGCGCGCCATGTGGGATGGGACTCTCCCCCGGAGGCCTGGGAGCAGCCAGGGATCTAACCGGTGCTGCAGAGGCTGCTGGCAGCTTCACAACCCAGCGCTCAACCATTGTGCCACCAGGGAGGCCCCCAGTATGCATTTTTAACTAGTGTGTAATTTGTTAGAATTTCACAATTGAAGATCAGTCTCAGTAGGTCTGGGTTTGTTTGTTTTTTTTTTTTCCCCATTCTGATAACATTGAGATTATTTAATCTTGAGTGTTGTCCTTGGTCCCTGATCAACGTGAACAGTATGAACAGTATTTTTTTTTTTTTAGTTGAGGAAAGATTTAGAATTCAACAATAATAAACTTGTGTAGCTAGGTAATTTATTTTTGTAATTTAAAATACATGAACCTTGATCATTGTTACATAATTTTACTTAAATGGAACTCTGTTACGATTACTTAAATTACAATTGTGTTGAAGTCACTGGCTCTGAATGACTAGCATTTCAAACTGATTAGAAGTCTCCTAACAGTTTTATTCCTTGGTGTTTTTTTTTTTTTTTTTTTAGATTAGTGTGATTTTTTCTTTTTATTGAGATATAATTGGCATAGCAATCTCAGGTATACAGTATAGTGATAACTGTAGTTGTATACATAGCTAAATGATCACAGGAAGTCACAACACAATTATAAAATTTTTTTCTTAGTGATCTCAACAACTCAAACACAAATACAGTATTATTAACTATAGTTACTATGCTGTACAACTCTTGTCAACCAATTCTTAAGGTAAAGGTAATTTGTGGCTGATAAAGTATGAAGAATCTCTTTCTGTACAAAAGTTTTGTCTGTTGAGGTAGAGGAAAGATACTAAATGTGTTACATTTAAATATCTTGGTACTATGTATAGTATCAAGTACTTGATATAGTTCTGCTATCTCCTTGTGTAATTATTTTACAGTTTCTGTATTTGTAAGAATAGTGTGATAATACTTAAAGAAATATATTATGTTGGGAGTGATTTGAAAAAATGAAATTAAAAGAATTTGTATCAATAAATGTGTTAACTTTATTTGTAGATATTGAAGCACAGATTCGAGAAATTCAAGGCAAAAAGGCAGCTCTTGATGAAGCTCAAGGAGTGGGCCTTGATTCTACAGGCTATTATGACCAGGAAATTTATGGTGGAAGTGACAGCAGATTTGCTGGATATGTGACATCAATTGCTGCAACTGAACTTGAAGATGTAAGTTACAAAGCATTAAGAGTCAAGTATGTTTTTGATGAGAGCAATAAATAAAAAGGAATTTTCTGTTTGATTCATCTGTTTAATCTGGGGTGACAGTTCTTTTGGATGGTGAAACTATTAAAGGTGTACTTGATTTCTAAGGTTCAGAATTCTCACTGGAGTTCAATTCTGAATCTTTATGTGAAAGACTAGCTTGTTTATCCAGCAGTACCACTTGCAAATCATTATAAAGTAAATCCCTATTGTTACTCACTGAGCTCTTGTCTACTGTAGTCCAGGTGAAAAGTGACTGGCTTGTACCAATCATCTGTCCTTGTAACTTTTGATTTGTGGCTTATACTTGATCCCGTTTTTTTCCCCTTGGCATTTCTTGTGAGTGGAATATTTCCTATTACTGATATTGTGGATTTTGTTTCAGTTACTCTGGAGTATGACCACTACTCATTTTAAAATACATTCTTCAATATATATTTCACCTAGCTTATGTTTTGTTGCACCATCCCAGATTACCCAATTTGATGAAATAACAATACATTTTTGTGTGATTCAGTAATAAATGTATATCGATGATCAAATTTGTTACTTTTATGAAATTCAAGCCTTGTTATTCCATGGTTGGTACCTTTTATTGGTGCCGTGGGGAGGGGGGCAGGGTGGAGAGAAATGGAAAAGTTCCAAAAGTAAAATTTCTAGAAGCTACTGAAGCTTCTAGTTTGCATTTTCATGCTTCAATGGAAAGAGACCACTGTGACCAGAAGCTGAGGGAGAAATTGTCATTTCATTTTTAAATAAAGGAAATGAGGTGTTAAGATCTTTTAGAGTTACCTTGTGTTGCACTTCTTTTACTAGCAGAGTAACAATATAATATTCTGTTAAATATACTAAGGAATTTACATTAAAATCCATTACTTTTTGCTTGTTTCTGTTAAACCATATTTAAAATTCATGAGTTAAAAAAAAACTCCGAGAATTCTAAGTAAGCTGTTTGTAATTTCTAAATATGAAAAACAGATTTCATCATGATTTTGGTGAGAAAATGAAATACTAAGGTTTTTCTAATCTGTACTTAAATTTTTCTAATTGACTTCAACACAGAGATCATTCCTTGTTTAAGAGTAAAGATAATTAAATTCAATTCCCTGAATTGGTTTTTGAGTTGAAAAAGAACCCTTGTTTACAAGTTTTATGAATTTAGGTTTTAGATTTCTTGTTGAATCTTTATATATTCCTTCTGATGTTTAAGTTCTAACATTTGTTTATGACTTTTTGGGGGCATTTCATTGCAGGATGACGATGACTACTCATCCTCTACAAGTTTGCTTGGTCAGAAGAAGCCAGGATATCATGCCCCGGTGGCATTGCTTAATGATATACCACAGTCTACAGAACAGGTAACTTTTTTTCCTCCAGACCCCAGTTTATTCAGCTAAAGTTGAATATGTTAGGGCTTCCCTGGTGGCCTAGGAGTTAAGTCTCAGTGCTACCTCCACGACGGCCTGAGTTTTATCTCTAGCCAGGGAGCTGGCACAGCAGACCTCTGCTATCTCGCCTGCTGCTTGCCTTAGTGTATTTCAGTAGATCCACCTGTTCTGCTTCTCACTCTGTCTCTTGTGAATCCTCTGACACCCCCCACCCCACCCTGCACCTCTGGCCTACACCCCAGTTCTACTATACAAAAATAAATAGAATCTTTTAAAAAAAAAATTGAATATGTCAGTTTCCATAGAAACTCACAGATTTGTGAACCAAGTTATTAGTTTTTTTTTAAAGATTTATTTATTTATATTTTATTTATTTATTTATTTATACATGCACTGGGTACAGTCAGAAGTGCAGGAGGGTGAGAGAATTCACCAGAGCCAGAGCGGGGAGCAGAGCAGGCAGAAGGACCGAAGTACACTGCTGAGGGGAGCAGCGGGCGGCAGGAGAGGTCTGCGCGCCATGCGGGACCCTCCTCCGGTGGCCGGGGAGCAGCCGGGGATCGAACCAGCGCTGCAGAGGCTGCGGGCAGCTTCGCAACCCAGCGCTCAACCGCTGCGCCACCAGGGAGGCCCCCAAGTTATTAGTTTTAAGGAGAATTGGTTGAGAGAATGATTTGGGGAGAATTAGAGATAATAATTTATTTTATAAAGGTAATCATTTCATGAAGTAATGAACTATGGAAAGGCAGACATGCATATTGTATTTTTACGTGCCTTTTCATGTTAACATCTGGTAAAATGATAGCCTTATTGGTAGGCATTTATTATCATGTTCTAATTTATTTATGATATTCTTTTTGATTTTTCTCTCTTTTCAGTATGATCCGTTTGCTGAGCACCGACCTCCGAAGATTGCAGATCGGGAAGATGAATACAAAAAACACAGGCGGACCATGATAATTTCCCCAGAGCGTCTTGATCCTTTTGCAGATGGTAATTCTTTCCCACCTTTCTATAAGTATTTAATATTTGTATTAAGTTGTCTTTAGCCCTTTGATTTTTTTTGGCATGCTTATGAATTTGCTTTTCTTTTTAAAAATCCCCCTTATAGATTTGTATAGATTTGGTTGAAGTCACAGATACCATATTCTTCATCTTTATAATGCAAGTTTTCTTTCCAGGTAGAAGGACAAGAAAATAATGAGCCAATGCCATAGAAACGCAAAGGGTTAAAGGTTTTTCTTTTACTTTTGTTTTGGGTACGCTTTCTATACTTTGAACAAATGTGTTTTTCTGCTCAAAATACTTTGAAATTATTGAAAGTTTCATTCCAAATCCTAGATTTTTAGGATTATTACTTTTGAGAAACTGTTTCTCACATTAGAGCTTCCCCCCATATTGCTCTAAATATAGTTTAGTAAATGCACCTACCTTGCTCTAAGCATACTGAAAGTTAAAAGTATGTATACAAAAAAGACTTTGATATTTTTAATAGTTGGAGTCTGTTTTGCTAATTTTAGTGTGCAGGTCAGCACAAGGGGCATAATGAGCCTGATGGAAGCTTTCCTCAGGTGAGTGAGTTTCAAAATCACAATAAGGTGCCTGTTTCTTAAAATTAGATTCTGCTGCAGGTTTACAAATTAGACTTTCAGCCTGCATGAATTAGTAGGGATATTCTTTTTTTACTTGCATAATTGTAATTGATTTAAACATGTGTGTCAGAATTCACAGGCCCATACTAACTGTCCTTAATTTCTTTCCTACAGCAGTACTGCTATATGCCAGTCCTGTCTGCATTCTTAAGGGTGCAGTTCAACACATCCTCTCTAGATTATGGTGAAAAAGTATTCCAAAGGAAGTCATATCAGAGCTAGTGTCAGAAAGAATGACACTACCAATTGGGCATGATCTTCAGCATAGGAAATGTCTAGAATTTATTATTTTTTCCTAAATTGTGATGCTATACTACTTGTATAGCTAATTATCACATTTCTGAAAACATGAGTGTGCCTCTTTGAATCTTACTATGTATTGTTTGGGCTTCTTTAAGATGTTTTGAAGTTTGAAAAGCAAATACTGAAACTAACCAAGAGACCAACACATCTCTTTGTACACCACTTTTCTGTGTGCATCATAACTGTGATAGAAGTAATATATTTCAAATAATATGTTTCCAGTTGTAATTTATACTTCTAGGAAGATAAAAATATGTTTCTGGGTCAACAAAACTTAGAACATGAAGCCCTTTTTAGTAACATAACATCAGATTTAAGATTATAGGTTATTTTAAAAAATCAGATATTCTAAACTATAACTGTTGTAGAACATGTATGAAGAACTTGTATAGTCATAGTTATTTGTAGTCAGGATTTTAACAGCTTGCAACAGGTAATGTTTTGAATATAAATATCTTTCCAAAGTGTTACTAATGGTAAAGAGATAATTTTCTAGGCTTCTATTCTGCTGCTTGAAGTCAGAACTGCTGATGGAGACAAAGGCACGAAAGTGTACGTATTCCGGATTAGCAACCCAGGAACCCATCACTTCTGAAGACTAAACTGTGCTGTCATTTTGTTTTTATATGCATTAAAATATTTGTTTTAAACTGCTGTAGATGTGTTTGTGTTCAAACAGGTTAAATTGATCAGCAAACTCAATAAAAAGTAAGATGTATAATTATTAAAGTTTTACATCAAAAAGTAAATTAAATGATTATGGAATAACTTAATATTAGAGCAGGGCAGATAAATCATTTGTACCTAATTATCCTTTATTTATTGTACTCTTGTCCTGTTGCTGTTCTTTTCTGCAGGAGGGAAGACACCTGATCCCAAAATGAATGCTAGAACTTACATGGATGTAATGCGAGAACAACATTTAACTAAAGAAGAGGTATGTGAATCTGCTCTTTAATGATTGAGAGAATATAAAGAAAGTTGCTATTAAGGGACTTTTTCCTTGTTATTTGCTATAATATTTTAATGCTATTAGTAAACATTGAGAAAGAACCTTACATAAAATTCTACCATCTCCAAATTAGAATTCCTATTTTTTGGGAAGATTTTATTTATTTCTTTTAAAGATTTATTTTTTTATTTATACAATAGCTGGGGTAGAGGCCAGAGGCATGGGAGGGTGAGAGGATTCACCACAGACAGAGTGGGGAGCAGAACAGGCAGCTCAACTGAAATACACTGCTTGAGGGGAGCAGCGGGTGAATCAGGAGAGGTCTGCTGCGCCATGTAGGTAGCTCTGTGGCTGGGGATGGAACTCGTGCTGCAATGGCTGAGGATAGCTTTATAGGTTGCATCTTAACCTCTTGCACCACCAGGGAGTTCCCTAAACTTCATTTTTTTTTTTTTTTTTAAGATTTATTTATTCATGCATGAAAGAACCAGGGTACAGGCCAGATGTGCAGGAGGGTGAGAGGATTCACCAGAGACAGAGCGGAGAACAGATCAGGCAGGCAGACTGAAGCACTGCTGAGGGGCACAGCATGCGAGGCAGGAGAGTTGTGCCGCGCATGTGGGATTCTCGCTGGCCGGCCAGGATCGAACCCACACTGCAGAGGCTGCGGACAGCCCCACAGTGTGGCACTCAACTGCCTGCGCCACCAGGGGAGGCCCTAAACTTCACATTTTTATATCCCTTACTAGCCCCTGACCCCTGAACATATAGACAGATGTGCATGTGTGTGCGTACACACACCCACCACAACCCCCATTTGTGGGGTAGGGGATGGATTTGAATCTAGTGTGTAAGGAAAAAGCCATATAGTTAAATTACTCCTTGAAAAATCCCTAGTTTGGGGACCTCCCTGGTGGCATAGGGGTTAAATCTCGGCGCTATCACTCTGTCACTGCTGTGACCTGAGATTGATCCCCCAGCAGGGAGCTAGCCGACATACGGTGCAGTAGACCTCTCCTGCCTCACCTGCTGCACCCCTGGCAGTGTAGTTCAGTAGATCCACCACTGTTCTGCTCCCTACTCTGTCTCTGGTGAATCTTCCTCCCCACCTCTGAACTATAGCCCAGTTCTTTTTTAAAAAGATTTATTTATGCATACAAGTTTCTGTTACCCTACAGAGATCACCGTATTTTAATAGTTAATCTCCATAATTTTATTATGGACATATAGATTTGGTTATGAGGGTTAAATGGAATATTGGAAGCTCATTTTGAAATCTCAGGATGCATATAATGTGCATTTATGACGACATTATAAATATTTTCATAAATAAAGTAATAAAGTCAACAAATTTTAACTTTTTTACTTTTTACCACTTTTCTTTATGTTGTATAGTCTTTATTTCTATTTTTTTTTTAAAGATTTATTTTTATTTATTTATTTATATAAGCACTGGGTACAGTCAGAAGCGCGGGAGGGTGAAGATGTGTATTCACCAGAGCCAGAGCGGGGAGCAGAGCAGGCAGAAGGACTGAAGTACACTGCTGAGGGGAGCAGTGGGCGGCAGGAGAGGTCTGCGCGCCATATGGGACCCTCCTCCGGTGGCCGGGGAGCAGCCGGGGATCGAACCGGCGCAGCAGAGGCTGCGGGCAGCTTCGCAACCCGGTGCTCAACTGCTGCGCCACCGGGGAGGCCCAGTCTTTATTTCTATTTTATGAGTTATAAATTAAACCCTACTTTTCAGTGAAAGCATTTGGTTTTATACCATTGACTGAAAATTTTACTGTCACTGTGTTGTAAATTTTGTACTTTCTCTTCCTTTGTGCAGAAAGACAGTGTGTAAAACTTGAAATACAGAAAAGAGAGGGGGAAATAAGTAATGGAGCCACTAGTAGCATGGAAAAGAATGAAGAATAAAAGAAGATATTAAATAGGAGTTATTGTACAAATGATGAGTATATTCAAAACACCTTAAAGGCTTTCCCTGAGTTATGTATATATTTTTCAGAGAGAAATTAGGCAGCAACTAGCAGAGAAAGCTAAAGCTGGAGAACTAAAAGTCGTCAATGGAGCAGCAGCTTCCCAGCCTCCCTCAAAACGAAAACGGCGTTGGGATCAAACAGCAGATCAGACTCCTGGTGCCACTCCCAAAAAACTGTCAAGTTGGGATCAAGCAGAGGTAATTTCTTTTTATTACTGATTTAAATTTTTTTCCCCCTTGGAGTGTTTCCGTCTGATTATATTACTTTAACTAAACATCACAGTCCAGGCAGCTCAAACACATTTATTTTTTCACATTCTGGGAGTTCACAGTCCCAAGACCAAGGTGCCGAACAGGGTTGATATCTGGTGAGAGCTCTCTCTCTCTGGTTTTCAGATGATTGCATTTTAATGTGTCCTCACATGGCCCCCTTTGTGCAGAGTAAGCTCGGGCGTCTGCTTATAGGGACACCATTCCTATCAGAACAGGGCCCCACCCATATCACCTCATTTAACCTAAATTACTTCACTGAAGGTTCAGTCTCCAAACACAGTCACAGGAGAGTGAGTAAAATAGTCATTTTCCTCATGGATAATCTAAGCCTCTGACTACAGCTGTCAAATGGACAATGCTGCTGCACTTTCTTGGTTAGTTTACTTTCCTAGAGAGTAATCTTTTCATTAAAATTGGGACAAAATGGAATATGAAATCTGTCATTTAAGCCATTTTTTGAGTGCAGTTCAGTGGCATTATTGTATAAACATCACCATTTTCATCACCCAAACTCTGTAATCATTACGCAGTAACTTGTTATTTTTCCTTCCAGTGGACTTTGTGGTATGTTAGACCTACAATGATGCTGTTTTTACTTGATGACTTTCACTTGTGATTTTCTCCCCAATTGAAAACAATTGAAAAAAAAAAGACTTGTACATTTTCTCACTGTAATATCTATCAGTATGTCTGTGTCTCTTCTCATCTACTCTGCTTTCCCTTCTGTTATAATATGAACTCTTAGTTCAAGTTGACTATCTGAAGATAATCCTTCCACTTCTGTGCCATCTTCCGTACCTTTTCATTACTCAAGGACTCTCATGTAATGTTAGCTTTTTTTCCTCTGAACTGTGTTATTAACACTAGCAAACACATTTTTACTCTTCATCTTAAAGGCACCCCATAATTTTTTAACAGTAATAATATAGAATCTTTTTAAAGAAAAAAACTCTTACATTTGTTATAGTATTTATACAAATTTGGAAATACAAAGCTAGATAGAATCCTTTGTCTGCAAGTGCATCCTACTTTAAAACATAACAAGTACACTATAAAACTTACAGAAGGCTTATGAGTCATTAAATACAAATTTGGTTTTACGCTAAATCACCTCCTGCTTGACATTGTCTGCACTGTCCAGTTCTTTTGCTGTATGTGTGTCAAATTACTGGACCTTTGGTTTCTTAAATCTACTTCTAATCTTTCAGATGTTAATTTTGCTAGTATCAATAAGGGTAATGATACGTACATGGTTGTAAAAGTAAGCTCATCTCAAGGATAGAATTGTGGCTGTGTCTGGTTATAAGATCATCCAGTTAATATTAAACGTGGTTAAATACGCACTTGAACGAAAATAAGAGAGTAGTATTTTTTAGTGAGAAATTATGGGTATGTGTTGCTAACCCTCAATTTGAGAAGTACTGATACAGTTATACTGAAATTTCTCTCATTGCATATCTGGACAGAGAAAACACTAGTGATTTCCCAAAAGTCTTGGACCCAAAACACATTGTTTTTGAAGCTAGGACTTTTTTCACTTGCTCTAAATTAAGACTTTAAGTTGTTTTTAGTCATAAACATTTTCTAGAAAGTAGGTGTCTTTTATGCAGGATAGTCTCTTAATTATAGAGGACGGAACTAAAACATTTAGTTGTTTAACAGTTTGTTGTTTAGAATTTTTTAAATTATGTGAATATGTATGTGTGTGAAATAAATCTTTGCTCTCCTAAGACTCCTGGACATACTCCTTCCTTAAGATGGGATGAAACACCTGGTCGTGCAAAGGGAAGTGAAACTCCTGGAGCAACCCCAGGATCTAAAATTTGGGATCCTACTCCTAGTCACACACCAGCGGGAGCTGCTACTCCTGGAAGAGGGGATACGCCAGGCCATGCAACACCAGGCCATGGAGGCGCAACCTCAAGTGCCCGTAAAAACAGATGGGATGAGACTCCCAAGACAGAAAGAGGTATTTCCAGTGGAGTCTGTACATGTGTTTGGATGAAATGTTGACTTCAGTTGTTTACTGAAAGCTGTAATTGTTTCTCCATAGTCTTGAGTGGATAAGTAAGCAGCTTTCTGGGGGCAGTTGAAGAACTGAGCAGCTTATGTGCCTAATTCTTTTCTCTTTTTGAGGAGATTTAAGGTTTATTTTGGGAAGGATATTAGAAGAAAGTAAAGTTTATAAATCATACTCTATTTTATTATGGGAAAATATACATAACAGAAGTATGCCATCTTAATATATATACACATATATATATATTTTTAATACAAGAGCTGGGGTACAGGCCAGAGATGGAGGGGATTGAGGGAAGATTTACCAGAGACAGAGTAGGGAACAGAACAGGCAGAATGACTGAAGTACACTGCTGAGGGGAGCAGTGGGCGAGTCAGGAGAGGTCTGCTGCGCCATGTGGGTTGTTCCCTGGCCAGCAGGGGATCGAACTTGTGCTGCAGAGGCTGCGGATTGCTTCATAGTGTGGTGCTTAACCCCTTGTGCCACCAGAGAGGCCCCATCTTAATAATTTTTTAATGTACAATTCAGTGGCATTAAGTACATTCACAATGTTATAGAAGCCACTGTCTAATCCATTTCTAGAACTTTTTCATCATCTTTCCATTTTTGTGCCTATTAAATAGCTGCTCATTTTCTCCCATTGTCCAGTAACTTCTCTTTTACTTTTTGTGTAAACCTCTTGATTTTTTTTTATGTAAATGATATTAAACTGCGTTTGACTAACTGAGATTAGCTTTGGGAAGTTACGATTTAATGTGTCTGCAGGGCGGTGACAGGGTCAGGGGAAAATCATCTGCTATACTGAAATTTAAAAAAATGCAGTGGTGGGTCTCCCCGGTGGCGCAGCTGTTGAGCGCTGGGTTGCGAAGCTGCCCGCGGCCTCTGCGGCGCCGGTTCGATCCCCGGCTGCTCCCCGGCCACCAGAGGAGGGTCCCACATGGCACGCAGACCTCTCCTGCCGCCCGCTGCTCCCCTCAGCAGTGTACTTCGGTCCTTCTGCCTGCTCTGCTCCCCGCTCTGGCTCTGGTGAAATCTCTCACCCTCCCGTGCTTCTGACTGTACCCAGTGCTTGTATAAATAAATAAATAAATCTTTAAAAAAAAAAAATGCAGTGGTAAGGGAACTGTGTGCTTAACATGTAGCGGATGAAAGGAGTAGCATAGACCATGCAGAGTGATCTCAGCTGTATGAAGATATAAAAGGAGCGCTCAAGAAACAGTGGCTGTCTGATTTGTGATACCGTGCAAGGTTAAAACTGTTGCTGTTTTAGGTTCTCAATGGTTACTACTTAGTATTATTATAATTGGTAGAAAAGAAACAAGAATAGCAAAGGACAATAAATAGGAAATGGAACATTAAAACACTAAATGTGTCTACATTTTAGTAATACCCTTTTTTTTAACTCAATTCATTTTTGGTTTGTCAGCTATATGAGAATAAATAGTAATTTCTGAACAGTGGTTAAAATTTTAATCTTACTTTTTTCTTTAAAGATACTCCTGGACATGGAAGTGGATGGGCTGAGACTCCTCGAACTGATCGAGGTGGAGACTCAATTGGTGAAACACCAACTCCTGGAGCCAGTAAAAGAAAGTCACGTTGGGATGAAACACCAGCTAGTCAGATGGGTGGAAGCACTCCTGTTCTGACTCCTGGAAAAACACCAATTGGCACACCAGCCATGAACATGGCTACCCCTACTCCAGGTAGAAATGCTTTCATTGGAAATACATAAATATTCTGAATTCCTTGTGGATTTCTGTATGTTATTTTAGCAAGACTAGCAGGATATGAAGTCTTAGTTTGAGTTTATAATATAAAAACAAATATTAGAATTGATTTGAATTATCTTATATCCCAAGAACCTATGTAATGAAAGTCTTGCATTATAGATTATTACAGAAATTTGCTTTTTTGGTAGGTCACATAATGAGTATGACTCCTGAACAGCTTCAGGCTTGGCGGTGGGAGAGAGAAATTGATGAGAGAAATCGCCCTCTTTCTGATGAAGAATTAGATGCAATGTTCCCAGAAGGATATAAGGTAATAACAGTTGAATGGCATTTAGGATGTGAATTTTTAGTGTTCTTTGAAAAAAGTAACTGGTTTTCATTGACCTTAGCCAAATTTACTGCCATTCCATTCCTTTAGACAATTCCAAGTATATTTCATTTTCAAAAAGTAATAGTGATAGAAAGAAATGAATGACATGGAGCTTTATTACTTTTGGAGGATGAGAAATCTCAGACTTTAAGACCCCACTTTGAAACCTCCTGCCTTAGGAAGTATGGGGATAGCTTCATAGAACCAGGATTAAGCTTACATTACATTAGATCATGGTTATTTTGCTTGGCACGTCACAAGGTTGTCTGTATTTAAGTTCATGTGTTGCCAATGAATTTAATTTTCTCTTTACCACAGCAATTTAAATGTAAAATTTTCTAGGGACTTGGACTCTCTTCTGGCTAAAGATCATCTTTGGTCATCTATGGCCTTCAAAGAGCTTTTTCTGGCGTTGCCTACTGCTTGTTGGTAGTTTGTATGAGTAGTTTTTTTTTTTTCAACCCTTATTGGGTTTAGTGTTAGAGTATTTGTTTTAAATATGCATAAATTTCTGCTTTAAAACTTCTGGCTTCAACATAATGCTGTGGGTATAGACTCTACAACTTACTGTTGACTGCTTGAGTGTTCTAGTTTTAGTCATTGGTTTTCTTAGTGTCATTGGAAGGGGAAAATTCTTAGTGCATCCTATTAATTCTAAATGAAATCCTTATTAGTGAATATAAAAAGCAGTAGACTGCAGGCCCTTATGAGTGATGGCAGTGGACTTGATACTGACTTTATAAGAGGTACCTCATATATAGAATAAAATTCCACTTTTGCCAAAATGATTGGTTGTCCATTCTGGTACATATATTAACTTGTGACAAAACATGATGGGATAACAAAGTACATGTAGCATTGATGTTTAAAATAATTTTATCCGTGTTAATGGATATTTTTAGATACTATAGCTTAGGAGCATTGGGGAAGACTGGTATGTGTTTACTGGCCTGCCCTCAAAGTTAGTTTGTTTTAGAAGTATGCTACTAGCTTTTTTTGAAAAAAAATTTTCTTTGTGTTAAAAACCTGCATTAAAAAGTTTTGGGATTTTTTTTTTTTCCAGTTTAGTAAAAGGTTTAAGCAAATGGTGTGTTTTGTAGAGCTTTGGCAAATATTTTGGTTTCAGTTTTAATGCATTTACCTTACCTTTATAGGGTGCAGATACTAAGATTTGCTTTTATAGTGCTGAATTGACATGATTGACTTTTCATTTTATTATTAAAATACCTTTTACATATGTGCAGTAAGCAAACTTATTTCCATTTATATGACATGTTGACTTCAACATGTTTAAATAAGTTAGTGTTTGAAATACAAATTCAGTATATAAATATATAAATTCTGATTCTGGAAAATCAGAATTTTCTAGCTCTGTTTTATAGTATTTCATTTCCTCACGTTCGTAGTATACTTAAGTTTTAGTTAGCACCTAAGAAATACAATTTTTTTTTTTTTTAAGAAATACAAGTGTTTTCATAAATATTTTAAACATCTAATTAGGATAGAAGAAAGGTATTGGTGTTAATTTTTGCCTCCACGCAGAAAACATCCTACCTATAAACTTTAAAATGTTTGAAGTACAAATCTTAACTTTATTACGTACTTTCTAAAGTATTACGTACTTTCTAAACTGTTTCTTAAATGCATTAGGTACTTCCCCCTCCAGCTGGTTATGTTCCCATTCGAACTCCGGCTCGAAAGCTAACAGCAACTCCAACACCTTTGGGTGGTATGACTGGTTTCCACATGCAAACCGAAGATAGAACTATGAAAAGTGTTAATGACCAACCATCTGGAAATCTTCCATTTTTAAAACCTGATGATATTCAGTACTTTGATAAACTTTTGGTAAGTGATGATAGCAGAAAATATAACTTTTTATTTGGGATTTATAAATACCTAAACTTAGCTTAGGATTTTTTTCTTTTTTAATTTTAGGTTGATGTTGATGAATCAACACTTAGTCCAGAAGAACAAAAAGAGAGAAAAATAATGAAGTTGCTTTTAAAAATCAAGAATGGAACCCCTCCAATGAGAAAGGTAAATAACCAGTTTATTACATTAAGTTTATTACAATTCTGTGTTTTAAAAATTCATAATTAAATGTTTTATCTTTACCAAGGGCACAGTATGAGGAAAGGGAATAAGTTGTGTGAAGATTTAGCTTTAAATCTAATGAGGATGTTGAAAGTGAGATTCTTCTTTTTGTTATCATGGCCTTTAAAATACACTGAAGATTCAGAGAATTTGTATTAGCATCAAATGTGGCTTGAGCAAGGGAGATTCTTTGGGGAACACTTAGGAATTTTATATATTCCCCTGTGGCTCCATTGTTTTACTAAATTTACTTTTTTTGAATTAACCGAGAAGAATGAATTTCTGCAATAGGAATTAACGGTTCAGATTAATTTTGATGGGCATGAGCTTGTGCTACTCTAAAATGTGTGTGACATTTACACTAAAATACTAGGTTACTGTAAATCATGAATAATTTTATTTTTACTCAAAGGGCTTAATTATAATCAGTACATACCTTTCATTTTCCTTCTTCAGGCTGCGTTGCGTCAGATTACTGACAAAGCTCGTGAATTTGGAGCTGGGCCTTTGTTTAATCAGATTCTTCCTCTACTGATGTCTCCTACACTTGAGGATCAAGAGCGTCATTTACTTGTGAAAGTTATTGACAGAATATTATACAAACTTGATGACTTAGTTCGACCATATGTGCACAAGGTTTGTCTTTCTCCTGAAGTTGTGTTTCTAATGGTTTCATCTTTTTTTTTTTTTAAGATTGATTTTATTTACGCATACAAGAGCTGGGGTGCAGCCTAGAGGTGTGGGGAGGTGAAAGGATTCACCAGAGACAGAGTGGGGAGCAGAACAGGTGGATTGACTGAAATACACTGGAGTAGCAAGTGAGACAGGGGAGGTCTGCTACACCATGTGGGTTAGTTCCCTGGCTGGGGATTGAACTTGTGCTTCAGTGGCTTGCTTCAGTGGATCGCTTCATAGTGCTGAGACTTAACCCCTTACGCCACCAGGGAGGCCTTGGTTTCATCATTTTTAATATAAAAGGAATTGAGGTTTTTTGGGGGTTTTTTTTGCCAACTTAATTATGTGTATTTGTGAAATTTTAGAATTTTTAAAAGTAGTAACTGATGTTATATAATCACAGTAAAAAGTGAAATTTCATTCCCTTGCAGGACATTTGAGTTAAATTTACATATCGTTACAGAACTTTTTCTTTGTATAAACATATATCACATCTCTACAAATAAAATATGTGTATTATAGATGTGAGTTTTGCCATTTTACCATAATGGGTTTATATTGGACATATTTTTTCATTTGCTTTTATTGATAGTGGATTAGGGTGAGAAAATGTGTATTTCTAGACTGCAATTTAGTGTTAAGAACCATCTTTTTGCAGATAGAAATTATGGATTAGAATTGCAAAATACAGATGTAATTTTTTTAATGTTGAATATTAGACTGTGTTTGACTGGGTTCGCCCAAATTTTCATCTATATGTGGTTGAAATTGGTAATCAAAATTCTTAATTTGTCCCTTGATTATCAAGAGTTCTGGTAGTTACAAACTGTGTACTTAATTCTATTACATAATCATGTAATCGGTTTGAATTGTTAATCATGTAATTGGTATGAAAATGTGGCCTCTTTTCTTTTTCAGATCCTTGTGGTCATTGAACCATTGCTGATTGATGAAGATTACTATGCTCGAGTGGAAGGCCGAGAGATTATTTCTAATTTGGCGAAGGTATTTACATTATATTTGTAGAGAAGAAAAATGTATCTGTTCAAGGGATTACTTGATTGGAAAACGGTTCAGGGTTAATGCTACCAGCTCATGATTTTGTTTTCACATCCTTTTAGGCTGCTGGTTTGGCTACTATGATCTCCACCATGAGACCGGACATAGATAACATGGATGAATATGTCCGTAACACAACGGCTAGAGCTTTTGCTGTCGTGGCGTCTGCCCTGGGCATTCCTTCATTATTGCCCTTCTTAAAAGCTGTGTGCAAAAGCAAGAAGTCCTGGCAAGCAAGACACACTGGCATTAAGATTGTACAGCAGATAGCTATTCTTATGGGCTGTGCTATTTTGCCACATCTCAGAAGTTTAGTTGAAATCATTGAGCATGGTAAGTTGTATTGTTACTTTGTCTATCTTTTTTAAGATAGGTGCCCTGAAATTCGGACTGCTGATTTGAAGTGTTAAAGTAGAGGGCTTTAAAAACATAAACACCATATAGTTTATGATGGAATGTATAACATTACTCCTAATAAGCTGTGGTTCATATTGACTAGCCTAATTTTATCTAAAGTGAACAGATTGTGTAATTCAAATGTTTAAATATATTGCCAGAATCTGGATGATATTGTGGAAATTAGTTTGCTTAGTTAAAACCTGTGCTTGGTTTTATAGGTCTTGTGGATGAGCAGCAGAAAGTTAGGACCATTAGTGCTTTGGCCATTGCTGCCTTAGCTGAAGCAGCAACTCCTTATGGGATTGAATCTTTTGATTCTGTGTTAAAGCCTCTATGGAAGGGTATCCGCCAACACAGAGGAAAGGTAGATACACTAATTAGATCTTATTTTTCTTTTTTGATCTCATTGAAGTTAAGTCAACTTAAATCTAATTTGCTAAGTATATGTATTTTTCATTTTAAAATAGGGTCTGGCCGCTTTCTTAAAGGCCATTGGGTATCTCATTCCTCTCATGGATGCAGAATATGCCAACTATTACACTAGAGAAGTGATGTTAATCCTTATTCGAGAATTCCAATCTCCTGATGAAGAAATGAAGAAAATTGTGTTGAAGGTAATTGTTTCAAATTAAACAGTCTAAATTGGGCTTGTTTTTTTGCGGTTCAAAGAGAATTTTAAAGTGTTATAGAAAATACATGTATATGTTAAACCATTACTGTAATTTTTTTAATTTTAACTTTTAGGTGGTAAAGCAGTGTTGTGGAACAGATGGTGTAGAAGCAAACTACATTAAAACAGAAATTCTTCCTCCTTTTTTTAAACACTTCTGGCAACATAGAATGGCTTTGGATAGACGAAATTACCGACAGGTAGGCTTTTATTGTAAAAAATATATATTTCTAAGATCCTTTGAAGTATATATTTAGTCAATTTGAATCCATGTTACGTTATTTTCTCACAGTTCATAGGTGTTTGATTTGTGAAAGAAAATGGGTTTCAGTTAGCCAGCTAACTTCCATTTTGATTTTGCATCCTAAGATAAATACCCAGCTTTGAATAGATGTCTTTTGTAGAGCAGAATAAATACTTTAGCCGAGTGAAACAGGATAATAATTTTACTTTAAATAACCTTGACTAAGACTCCCATGTAAATTGTTTGTCATCTTTTCTCTTAAAAGTTTTAAGATTTCAGTATATGTTCTTAGTATGCTTATTAGCTACAGTAATTGGTTTTCATGATGTCTTTTTATTTACTTGGAAGAGCAATAATTTCAAAAATTTTTTCCTCCTCTTTAGTTAGTTGATACCACTGTGGAGTTGGCAAATAAAGTAGGTGCAGCAGAAATTATATCCAGGATTGTGGATGATCTGAAAGATGAAGCTGAACAGTACAGAAAAATGGTGATGGAGACAATTGAGAAAATTATGGGCAACTTAGGAGCAGCGGATATTGATCATAAACTTGAAGAACAACTGATTGATGGTATTCTTTATGCTTTCCAAGAACAGACTACAGAGGTAATATACTAATTATGGCAAGTTGCCAGTGACTTTCATATTTGTAGAAAAGTAATTACTTCTCTAGTAAATATCAGTAAAAAGTAATGGAATTTAAAGTAGTCTTTGAATGTTCATGTTTTCGATTGATAACCAAGAAATACTCCTTCAAAATTGTAGATACGATTTTTTTTTTTAAACTCAAACTGCAAAGGATTAAATATTAGTATATTTCATCTATTCTAAGTTCCCAGTGGATGTAATTTTTAAATTTAACTTGGCTTTTCTTTTTTAGGACTCAGTAATGTTAAATGGCTTTGGGACAGTGGTCAATGCTCTTGGCAAACGAGTCAAACCTTACTTGCCTCAGATCTGTGGTACAGTTTTGTGGCGTTTAAATAACAAATCAGCAAAAGTTAGGCAACAGGCAGCTGACTTGATCTCTAGAACTGCAGTTGTTATGAAGACTTGTCAAGAGGTAATCTTTTGTATCCGATTTTTATTTCTTTATCAGATAGAATCATGTGCACAGTAGCATTTTTAACATTATTTCTTTTATTATAGGAAAAATTGATGGGTCACTTGGGTGTTGTCTTGTACGAGTATTTGGGTGAGGAGTACCCTGAAGTATTGGGCAGCATTCTTGGAGCACTGAAGGCCATTGTAAATGTAATAGGTATGAAATTTGTTGGTCACAAAAAATTTTCTTTTAACTTGCTTTGGTTTTTTGAAAGTAAAATATAGACTCATTTAGGAGTTGAGTAATGATTTCTGATTACTTTTTTTTCTTTTAAAACACTTTAGAATTGTAGTTAAGTCGGGGTGTCACAAAATCTTGTCTCCCAAAAACCCATTTATATTTTACTTTTAAAAAAAGAGAGGTCAAGTTTAGAATCTTACAGGAGAGGTGGGAGAAGTCACAGCTCAAGAAACTGAAGTCACAGAGTAGAGGATCCTAATAAGAATAGTGTTGCTCTCATAATTATATTCTATAGCGGGGGGAACAACAACTCTGGAGTTTAGTTACTTTTAGGACAAATATATATTCAGCCTTGAATTAATAAATGATTTTGGCAAGTTTTCTGCTTGCTGTTAAGTTCAAGGAACATAACCATAGAGAAAACCAATTCAATCAAGTTATCATGTTTATATCTAATTCTTTAAAACTGTCTGTTCCATTTTCTAATCTAAAGTAAAAACAAAACAGATCATCTTATGTATGGAAGCCAAAGCCTTTATTCTTTAAGAACATTATGCTAAGGCCAGTGGTCTTATATTTAATCTTTATTGTAATTGGACATGACTGTTGCCAAAAGTAACTTCTGTAGGGTTTCAGAGGGGCCAAATTAACACAGCAGAAAGTCAGTAGCTGGTGATGATAGCCAGCCACTCTTACTTCTGTAAGGGATTTTAATGCATAAATATAACCCCAAATTCAGTACACTCCTCTCTCTTTGACCACTAGTGGGACTCTGGTTTGTAGGGAGTTATAAACCATGTTGTTTATCAGGGAAACATGGGAAGAGCATGGAGAGAGAATCAGAGCAAGCAACTCTAGTTAGAGCAAGAGCCCCTGCCAGCTGCCTCCTTTTTTCTCTCTTCATAGGTGTAAATACCATCCAAGTATGCCCTGCATTGCAGGGAGACTGGAGATCTGTTTGTTTTGCAGTTAAAGGGTAAGGGGGCCCTTTCTGGAAAATTTTGCTTTAATTTACATGTTTACCTCTGGCTTATATTGTGGTGTATGGCCGGAACATGAGCTTTCCCCATATTTAAATGTTAGTGTACAAATACATTTCAGAACCAAATAAGATTTTTTTGTTGTTGTTGAGTATCCATCATTCTTTAAATCACTTCACTAATTTCTTTCATTTCTATGCATAATCAGAAGTTGTTAATTAAAAAGTTATAAACAATTCTGAGTCTGGTCAGAAATCTGGGGTTTTCTCTTTCCATAGGCAGCTGTAAGTTTATATTTATTCCTAATGATGTGTATTACATCATTAAGTAAAAGGAAAAGTGAACAAAGGTTATTCTTCAGATGTGAATTGATAGCATGTTGACTTCTGTTACATAGGTATGCATAAGATGACCCCACCAATTAAAGATCTGCTGCCTAGACTTACCCCCATCTTAAAGAACAGGCATGAAAAAGTGCAAGAAAATTGTATTGATCTTGTTGGACGTATTGCTGACAGGTAGGCAAATTACTTAAATATTTTTTGTAAGCAGTATTGGCTAACATTTAACCCTTCTAATTTATTTTGTAAAATTTGCTTAATGTTGCCAAAGTAAGTATATCCAGTTTTAATATTTTTGGTAAAATTGCAATTTGCTGGCAATGCAATTCTAAGACTGAACTTGTCCTTTTTTGAAGAGTAGTGATATTTAATGCTTAAAATGAGTTGGAAATCATGCATTGAGAAATGAATTTGCCAATGTACCTTTAAAACTCACCAAAAAAATAACTTTTTTTTTAAATTAGGGGAGCTGAATATGTGTCTGCAAGAGAATGGATGAGGATTTGCTTTGAGCTTTTAGAGCTATTAAAGGCTCATAAAAAAGCTATTCGTAGAGCTACAGTCAACACATTTGGTTATATTGCAAAGGCTATTGGGTGAGTTATTTTCTATGTATCTTTATATATACAGACATAGATACGCATATGTACATACACTCAGACTTTGTAGTGAATCCATTATGCTGAAAATACTTTTATGTAGAAATCTCTTAAGGCATGGTATGAATAATGCAGTTGAGAAAACAACCTTCAATTTTTAAAATGTTTTCTTATACTTTAAATTGAATTAAAATAGTTGGGAGGTTTTTGGATTACATGCACCTCAAATATTTTCAGAGTGGAAATTATCATCTTCAGAATATTTTCAGTTTTCATCGATCTTTTTGGGGACATTGCTTTAAAATTTAAAGCCAATTCTTAATAAAACAATCAGCATCTCATTAATGCTTTGTGTTTAAAAAATACTTTTATATGATTAATCCACAGAAACTAATTTTCAGCAATATTACTAGGTAATTTGGTAGTTTGCTTCCATCCCATTAGAACCAAAGTAGAAACAGTTATAAAAAATGGCACACTACATGTCCAGGTGACTTAATAACAAGGAAAATGTTTTCTAGCAAGAAAAGAGTTTACCTACCCCCTGCCTCTTTTGGTAGTAGTAGTAATTATGTTAGCAGTGATATAGTCAAAAAATTTGCAATGAATAGCAGTTGTGTTTTTAGCTTTTATCTAAGTTTGTGGTAAAATAAATGCAGTAAAGTTATGTGGGAGTGAAAAAAGAAAATAGATTTTGATTGGTGGCACTGGAGACCATGGTTTGGATACCATATAAGGGATGGTTGGCTAGCCCTGGTGCCATGTTTGACCACTCAAAGAATTATTTATTTTTAAGATTTAATTTTTAATTTATACAAGAGCTGGGGTACAGTCCAGAGTCACGAGAGGGTGAGAGAATTCACCAGAGACGGAGTGGGGAGCAGAACAGACAGACCGAAAGCACTGCTGAGGGGAGCAGTGGGCATAGCAGGAGAGGTCTGCCGCGCCATATGGGTGTCTCCCTGGCTGGCCCAGAATTGAACCAGTGCTACAGAGGCTGCGGATAGCTTCACAACGCTGCGCTCAACCCACTGCGTCACCGGGGAGGCCCCTGACCACTCAAAGAATTACTAATGCTAAACATTTAAATTTCTTTCATATTTCAGGAAATTTACTTAAGACTAAAGAATTATTTTTGAATTTTTTCTTTAAAACTGAATTTAATTTAAATGAAATTCTTAATAGTGCCAATGTCAGTGACTTGAAAATACTACATTTTATTACAATTAGTTTCCCACTGAAGTTCATTTCCTTACTAGTATCTTTACTTGCTAGTAATAAAATTTCATTCGTGTCTTTCTTTTCCTTTTGAAAAAATTTGACTTGTAATCTAATAGTTTCCTCACATTGATTCTTTTTTCCAGCCCTCATGATGTATTGGCTACACTTCTAAACAATCTCAAAGTTCAGGAAAGGCAGAACAGAGTTTGTACCACTGTAGCAATAGCCATTGTTGCTGAAACATGTTCACCCTTCACAGTACTACCTGCCTTAATGAATGAATACAGAGTTCCTGAACTGAATGTTCAAAATGGAGTGTTAAAATCTCTTTCATTCTTGTTTGAATATATTGGTGAAATGGGGAAGGACTACATTTATGCTGTAACACCATTACTTGAAGATGCTTTAATGGATAGGTAAGTGATTTGAACTAAATACAACAAAAAAGTTATATTCTATTTAGAAAGATAATAATGCCATTGAAAATTGCTAATTAAATAAAAACTTTAGTTGGAAAATTTATTAATGAGGAATACTGCTTCACTATGTCTAATTAGCATTATTACAGTAAATAAGAAAAATAAGAAAGCTAGTAAATTCAAGTATTTTTTTCTTACACTTTTTTTTCAAAGGTTTATTTTTATGTATCTATACATAGAAGAACTGGGGTGTAGGCCAGAGTTGGGTGGTGGTGGGGTATGTGTGTATGTGTGAGAGAGAGAGAGAGAGAGAGAGAGAGAGAGAGAGAGAGGATTCATCAGAGACAAGAATGGGGAGCAGAACAGGCAGCTTGACTGAAATACACTGCTGACTGAATACACAGCTTGACTGAAATACACTCGCATTGGGCGAGACAGGAGAGGTCTGCTGCGCCATGTGGGTTATCTCCCTGGTCAGGGATCGAACTCATGCCAGTGACTGGCAATAGCTTGATGGTGTTGAGACTTAATCCCTTGCACCACCAAGGAGGCCCCCACATCTTTTATTTCTTACATTCTTTATTACCTTGTGGGGCAAAGAGTGTGAATTAATTTTTATACCCATCACAGACCCATTTTCTGATATTCCTATTCATTTGAGTAATTTGCAATTTAACCCCATAATTTGTCATAAACACAAATTCAGTTAACCTGAGAAATGATAATGTTCTTATTTCTATAAGTAGGAGAAAATTATTGGTTCTTTTCCCCAAATTGAGTTTTTGAATGACACTTAACAAGGGAATGGTTTGAATTTGGATTTATTTATTGTATGCAAACATTGAATTACTTCCAAAGACTTTATAGTTTAAAATGAGATTTTACTGTCATTCATATGTGAAATTGACGTATTCCCTCTTTAATAGCATGCTAAAAATGTACACTGCACAAGACTGTGTTGCTCACTTTCCTTTAATTAGAACATTTAGTTTATTTTAAAGCAAAAGTTCTCAAGAAAAATCATTAGTCATTCTATTTCAGTATTTAAGGTTAGTTAAGGTTCACTTGCATCTGTTCCTGCACTGAATTAGTAGTTTCCTTTCTAATGGGCAGTTGAATATTTCCTGTAAAATCTAAGGCTCCATCTTAATTAATAAGGTTTCCTCCCCTCCTCCCATCACAGGGACCTCGTACACAGACAGACGGCTAGTGCAGTGGTACAACACATGTCACTTGGGGTTTATGGATTTGGTTGTGAAGATTCTCTAAATCACTTGTTGAACTATGTATGGCCCAATGTGTTTGAAACATCTCCCCATGTAATTCAAGCAGTTATGGGAGCCCTGGAGGGCCTAAGAGTTGCTATTGGACCATGTAGAATGCTACAGTATTGTTTACAGGTAGGTTAAAGATTTTTAAAAGATTACTCAATAAAAGTAGTTATTTAGTTGAATAAAGTCACTGTTCCTTGTTAACAATATAGTAAATTTTGGGGAAACAGTTGTGAGGGGAGGGATATTATTGATAAATTTTGACCTAGCCCATTGTCAGGTTTTTTTTCTCTGTTAAAGTGAAATGTTTTGAATCTTTATGGTTTGTTGATTATGTTAAGATTATGTGTTTTTGAAAATTGAAATAATGAAACCTTTCAATTATTCTAGGGTCTATTTCATCCAGCCCGGAAAGTCAGAGATGTGTATTGGAAAATTTACAATTCCATCTACATTGGTTCACAGGATGCTCTCATAGCACATTACCCAAGAATCTACAATGATGATAAGAACACCTATATTCGTTATGAACTTGACTATATCTTATAATTTTGTTTATTTTGTGTTTAATGCACAGCTGTTTCACACTTTAAACTTGCTTCAATTTGGTGATGTAAACTTTTAAACATTGCAGATCAGCATAGAACTGGTCATAGAGGAAGAGCTAGAAATGCAGTAGCATGATTTTTAAATAACCCGTATTTGTTTTTGATGTTAAACAGTAAATTGCCAGTAGTGACCAAGAACACAGTGATTACACACACTTTACTGGAGGGATTTCATTTTTAATTCATCTTTATGAAGATTTAGAATTCATTCCTTGTGTTTAAAGGGAATGTTTAATTAAGAAATAAACATTTGTGTACAAAATGCTAACTTGTGTGTGTTTTTTGAACATGACTTGTAAAATGCGGAACTTTGATAAAAGTATTGGTTTGTGTAGAGTAAGTGGTTTAATTTCATTTTTTGTCACCTGATTTATAGACAATAGTTAGAATACAAGCTATATAAAGTGATGGCATCTTTGTCAAAATTCCATTGTTTTGTTGATAATGAAAACAAAGAGTAGATTTGGGGCTGTTCACCTCAAACTAGCACAATCGTTCCATCACCATAGAGAATGTAGCACCTTTGCTGAACTGTTTTGAATATTATTTTGCACTTAACATAGCGCCTTTCATCTCTTGATTTCTCAAAATGCTTTGTGAACATGTTTACAGGAGGTGATTAAAGTCATGTCCAACTCTTGACAAGTCTTTAGAAAGTGGGGAAGGTACCTACTTCAAATCTGCTTTCTGTTGAGAGTGAGGCTACCTATGTAAAGCTTACAGACTTAAGACAATCTTCAGACTCTTCCCCATGTCATAAGCCTACTCAACAATGTATTCTATAAATACTTGTTGAGCACCTACTGTGTATCGGCCCCAGCCAGTGTGCTAAGTGCAGGGGATACAAAGGTGCTTTTGACCTGCCCTTTTTTACCCTTAAGAAATTCAAGTCATTGGGAAAGGGGGAGTACATTTGGCATAATGCTTTGGGCTACGATACTACATAGTGGCAGCAGCTGAAATAACCTGGTTTGCTTAGTTTTTGCATTTAGTAATTAAGATAAATTGATCTATAGTTGTCAAACAAATGAAATGCCATTTAATTCTAGAGGATTCATGCATTAAGGCAGTACTTAGGTTTTGGCAAATATTTTAAGCTTTTCCTAATTTTCTGGCCAAAGATTTCTTGAGTTGATTTCTTCTAACTACCCACAGCCATTTTGTTTTGTCTTCCAATATTAGTACTTCTGTGAATTCTGATGGGAAGTGAGATTCTGCAACAAATAAGCATGGACTGACTCTGCCACTATAAGGTAAACATAGGCTAACACTAAGATTTGTGTCTAGTTACTGTTAACATCTACAGAGCTCCTTGGAGGCTTTGATGAGAAATAGCTTGTAAAGTTGGCTGACCATTACCACATTGACAGTGAACATGAGCTGACTTGGATAACATGTCAATGTGTAGTAAAACACAATTCCCAAAATCATTCTAAAATGTTTGTAACAAAAAGCCCCCATGAAACTAAAACTTGCTGTTCTCATAGTTGATGTCAAATAACCTTGAGGAATTCTAATCATGAAAACAAAGACAACAATTAGATTTCAAAGCCCAAAATTTAAGTCTTGAGAAAATGTATACTTCAAGTATTTATACAACTTCAGTTTACTTGGACCCTTATTTATGGAAAATCTCTGCTTTGTAGTGGCAGTGTGCAGTAAGGAGACTACCACACCTTTAGTGACTTTTAACTGATGTAGAAAGTGACTTGAAGATAGAGAGGTGAGGGGGATACTAAAGGTTATGAGTTGGGACCAAATAGGGACTCACAGGTCTTTGGATTATTTTATATGCTTATTGTCGAATAAGGAAGCATTTTGTGATATACTTACATGAAAGACGCTATGTGAAGTTTTAACAATCTCTTTTTCTTTCGCACTTTCTTTTGGTGTCTCTTAAAGCCAAACTTAAGCAGGAAGAAATTGTTTTAAGGGAACCGTGGGTGGGTTTTTCTGTGGGCTTTTGTTGGTTTTTCTGTGGGCCCTCTAATGGAATTGATCTCTTTGGCTGTTCAATTTTTTTCATATTGTATTTTTTAAATTTGTTGTACGGTGCCCTGTGAGCATCAAGTACTACCAGATGAATAAAACTTATTATATCTAAAGTCTTAGACCAGTTTTTAATCTTAGTTGACTCTTGTTATCACACTACAGTCAATATTTTAACAATATTGAGCTATTTGGGGTGAAGTTAATGTAAAATGAGAGGACATTTTTCTTTATTAAATAAGAAACCAAAAACGAATTCAGTTGTTTAGTTCAGTTTGGTTTCTAGTACCTCATAAATGCCAATAAGCACTTATGTGTGCCTCAAAAGCAGAAATTGTGACTATCCCAGGGTTTTTCAGTTTTGACGTTATATAATTTGGGGCTATTTGAGTCTTCATGGGGGAATTCTACTGGGCATTGTAGGATATTGAACAGTGTTGCTGACCTCTACCCACTGGATGCCAGTAGTACCAAAAATGCCTCTAGACTGTCTCACATCCCTTGTGAGGGCAAAATCCTCCTGGGCTGGGAACTATCAAAACCTTTGTTTAAAATAAGCAGGACTCAGTTCTGTGAGTTAAAACACAGTGTATAAAGAATTTGAAGAAGCAGTTTTCTAGGAAGTAGTTAGAAATACTATTTCACAAATTTAGTCACCCGTTGGGTAAAACTCAATTTGGGGAAGGTAAGCTGAAAATGCTAAAAATGTCCCCTTTCTGGTCCTTAACAGCATTTCCCAACACCATGGAGTGAGGTGTACAGTGCAGGAACAGACTTCTACATGCAAGTGGGGTATGTAGAAAAGGCCCGCAGAGCAAGGGACTCTCCCTTTTAAGAAATGTGGATAGGAAACTGGTCATTTGATTTGACTAGATAGTTCAGGCAGGAGAGTAAAAACTTCATGCTAGAAAAATGGCCTTAAAATCTACTTAATTGTTTCGTGTATTGTAAAAAGAGAAAAAGACATGCATATAATGTTTGACAAATAGACTTTTTATGGCCTAGTTAATAGATATTTGGAATGAAATTTTTTGAAGATTGATTTATTTGTGCATGCAAGAACAGGATTCACCAGAGACAGGGTGGAGAGCAGAACATGCAGATGTACCAAAATACACTGCTGAGGGGAGCAGTGGGTGAGACAGGAGAGGTCTGCTGTGCCATGTGGGTTAGATCTGAGGCTGGGATCAAACTATTGCAGTGGCTGGCAACAGCTTGATAGGGCTGAGACTTTAACCCCCTGCGCCAGGAATCCCTGGAATGAAGTATTTAACAAATTAGTGAGCTGACAGCTTCTGAAGGGGATTTAATCTGCAGTGTTATCCTGGATTATTTTTGTGCTAGGATGAAAATGTAACATTTTTAACCCATGTTAGTCTAGAGAAATTTGAGACTGGATAAAGTAGAGAAGGCAGATAAGCAAAAGAAACCAGGTAACTGAATGAGTTTCTGATGAGTGAAAAAAAGGAGGATGTCAAAGCACAGATCGGTTTTTCTTCAGAGAAATATCTTTCTGTAGTTCAAAAGGAATAATAATTGTGGGATACAGGCATGAAAAGTTTCCCCATGGCAAGCCATTATCAAAATACAAAAACTTATTTTAGAAACAAGTTTGGATTGTAAGGAAAATCAGACTTGAACAAAAATTTAAAACCAAAATTTAAAACCTTGTGAAGTTACCTATCTATAGTGTGTAATACGTGTAATACAAAATAGGCTCTGCACAGTTTTGACTATAAAAGCAGAATATAATTTACATATTTGGAAAGATCACTTAGTACCAATGTGAGCACCAAGGATGAACTGTTCAAGTGCCAGTGCTACTCTGTGGTTTGGAAATCAGCAAATCAATATCATTTGAAGATTTTTAGAAGATTTTTAGAAGATTATAAACTTAGGCTCTACCTGAAACCTGAAAGAAGATCTACATTTAATAAAGATCCTCAGGTGATTTATATATACATTAAAGTTGAAAAACAGTAGCCTAGGGCACCACTCTATTTCTAATTAATGTTAAAGTAATAAAAAAGGATGAAACTAGGTGTGAAAGAAGTGGACTTAACAAACACGCAAAGGTAGAACATTTCCAAGATGGTAGTTGCTGAAAACGGTGAAATAAAAGGGGCAGGAATAGCAACAAATTTCTGTTTTCGTATAAAACTCAATTGCTTTCTTCCAAGACTGTGTGATAGACTGTGTTACCCCAGATTCATATGTTGAAACTAATCTCCATGGTATTAGGAAGTGGGGCCTTTGGGAGGTAATTAGGTCTTGAGACTGGAGCCATCTTGCATGTGATTCTGAGAGCTGATGATTTCTACTGTCTGCCTTGTAAGGATATAACAAGGACATGGCCATCTGGTAAGTAGGATGCAGGCCCTCACTACTGGCTGGATCTTACTTAATCTTAGACTTCCCAGCCTCCAGACCGGTGAGGAACTCATTTAAGCCATGACAGGCATTCTGTTGCAGCACCCCAAACTGAGACAGGCTGACTAGGCCAATATAGTTAATACCGCATGTGTGTATCCACATTGCTTTTGCTACTTACTAGTTGACATTGGTTGTTGGAAAACCTTACACTGAAGAGGTAGAGGCTCATTCTCTTAAGGCCAATATGAGCTGGGACTATAATCGGACACCCTGATGAAAATCCTCTCTCTGCCCCAACGGAAGAGTAGGACAGGGAGGGAGTCAGCATTGTTCAAGCTTACCAACTAACTCGAGTTTTTCATGTTAGATTATAAAAACCTGAATTTATCTCCTAGAAGTGACAGCTACTGGTTCTGTGACCTCAGGCAAATTAATTGACTTTATGCTTTAGTTTCCTAATTTGAAGAATGGGGATAATGGTATGTACCTACCTTAATCATGGTATCCTTGTGAAGATTAATTGAGGTAGTGCCTAAAAGGTAAAATGCTTAGACATAGTGCTTAATAAGTGTAAAAGCTGTTGCTGTGTACATGATTTATTATTTTTATTACAAGGGAGGCTACCTCTGTTATTGCTGAAATTAGATGGGAAGGAGATTGGTGGGTAGCTGCCGCGGACCAGCGCAGCGGTAGACTTGCAGGACTGTCTCAGGATTGAGAAACTGTGAGGATGCTCAAGGAATCGGCGCATAAATGACAGACAGACACACAAATGACAAACAGACACACTTCAAGAGTGAAGATCTGAATGTAATTTGCTCAAAATCATCATACAATTTTATACCTTTTTTAACAATGGATGATTTCATACAAGTTAATTCTTTCTCAGCATAAAATACTTTGTAA